ATGAAACGATTAGCGGAGCCAAAAATGGTACCATTGACAGTTCTAGTGTTAAGGTATAATATGAAAGAATCACTTAATAATGTTTATATACTTAATGTAAAAGTGATGAAAATTAATCCAAGACACGAACGACCCATCGTATGTATAATAGAGGATTAGAATATTACCGCGTACACTGAGGCTTAATTCCATCATCACGCAAATTGCATTATTGCATTTATCCTAATTTCATAAGCAATTGAAAAAAATCTTTGTTGGAAAAAAGCGTAAATGTTTCGAGTGCAGAAAAATTAACGCTTGGTGTACACGCAGTCGCGTTACAATACGCTATTTCCACGCTAATGACTGCCATCCGCGTTTGCTACCAAAATAGCACATTATTAGGGCACTCTGCATACGGCTTAAAATCCCATAGTATATTTAAAGATGAGTTACCTAGTAGATATTCGTTGTTTTAAAATCGTTCGCGAACGCATTCGGAAAATGTCAAGACTCGATTTCGCGCAAAAGAGGTGGAGAACCAAGAATAGCGCTCTACTTGTCTGAGGTTTTGTCCGCGTTTCTCCTTTTAATCAAGAATGATCATTAGCGGCCCGGCGGTGAACAAAGGCGAATTGCATCGTGAGGAAGAAAAAAGACGATAAAACTTAACTTTGACCCTTCCTTTGGCGATGCGTTTAACTATGCCGCTTCCTCTTAGAACGATACATATTACCGGTCACCCTATCAGTCATTAACTTTGTTAACCGCCGTACCACGAATAATCAAACTAACCGTCGGGCGCAGAGAAACTTCCTACGGGACGATAAACGACGATAAATAACGAGCGTGTCGCGAAAATCGATTTTCCAACGAAGACAGGAAGTTTTTGCGATACCGTACTTCGAGTAGACGCCAAGCGCACGGAGCTCCGACGTTCCGCGCAAAACGGCAATTTCCATTCTGGACTTAAATTATCATTCGCCCCACACGCGACTTTGGCGCGACATTAATATTTAACGTGTTCGAAACACGCTATGGCAAGAAGTCTCTAATAGGGAGTCTCTCTCTCTCTCTTTCTCTCTCTCTCTCGCTCTCGCTCTCGCTCTCGCAAATATACAGTGAACGCAGTTGATGCTTTTCGTACTCTCATCTTAGATTTATATCATTGTTCATCTTGATGCGATACTAACGTTTTGTATGCTCAGAGAGAATGTTGCTATCGCCAAAGTATTCTATCATTAGGGCATTTAAATACGAGAGAGGGTATTTAAATTCGAGAACGCGATCCATCACGTCACGTTACCGCGGTCGCTCTGTGCTCGCCGGGAACGGCGAATACGTTGCCTCAGGGAGAAAGAGTACGTGTGTTCAATAGCGAAAAAAAAAAACGGAGAATATATATAAAGAAAAAAAATCGCGAACAAGAGGGTGCGTAACATCGCGAGACACGATTTCAAGTGGCGAATGTCGCGACCACGACGAACGATGTGTACGCACCCTTACTCTCACCGAGACTAAAATCGATCAACAAATTAGGTAAGGTAAGCGCTTCCGCGGTTCGCGACAATCTACCGTCGTCGAGGTTCGTAAACCTTCGTCGTGATTATCCTACACTGAAAGAAAAAGAAATTGTTTGAATGGGCGAAATTATCTTGCCTCAAATAAATTGTAGATCAACAAATTACACGACTAATGTAACAAGCTAGTCGATTACGTTTGTATATACGCTAATTGCGTGGATAAATTTTAGACATGGTATTAATACCGTATAATTTGTTTATATGACGTAATATACATACAAGGGGGAGCTACTTGTTGTCCGAGCAATTTTTTTTCTCAGTGCAATGTTTTATTTCAATTTTCTCTTCAATTCATTATAGTGTATGTACAATACTGAATAATTGATCAAAAAATGTTCACTGAATACATGCTTACTTCTGTGATGGGCTTTCTGTGATAAACTATTACCTAAACTTCAAAGTCGTAAAAAATTAACCAAAAAAGAAAACATTGCTGGACATTTACATTATAACTAGCGTGACTATTATTTTTATGATTTTAACAGTTTTTATTTCGTAGGTTATGTTATAATTTATTATTTATTTATATGCGACTTATAAGTCAAAACTAGTTTCGCGATTTTTTAATGTAGATTGTATTTTAATATATTAAATTCAATTAATATTATTTTACGTCTAGTGTTTTAGGTTGTCTTTGGATATTTTCTTATCTAAATTTGTATTGTTTAAATAAAACTTAATTAATCAAAACGATCGATTATTCTCACATTCGACTGTAATCAGACAGTTTCTTACGACTTAAAACTTAAAACTTAGGTAATGTTGTTATAGAAAGCCCTTTAAAGTAAAGCGATTACATTTTTTTCCGGAAGAAAAAAAATAATATTATTAATTATCATATGAGGAATATTTTTTTCTTAGAAAATGACTAGCGGGCTGACATAATTGAAAATAGCACAAAAACGTTCCATCAAATTAATAATTAATACGACGTTATTAAAAAATGAATGTTGATTTTATCTGAGCATCGCATTTGTGCTATTAATCCAAGGCTGTTACATACTTTCCTCGACTTTAGTGTGATAGCGTAATCATTTACTAGAACTTTCTCATTTCCTCACAAAGTCAGTTTATCTCTTCTTTCTTTCGTTATAAATTCCAAGTTACTTTCACGCATAAAATCCAACATCAAATATTTGAGAGAAATCGTATCTCGAAATATCTGTGTGACGATAATTTTATTTTTACTCAACGAAGGAAAGAAAGAGATCGAGCTGAAGCGATAATGCCTAAGCGGTCATTCAATAGTGCATTTACCTCGCTGATGATTTGCATTTCAGTTATTACACGATATCAGCGGGATATCACGAAGTCGTTCGGAGCCCGCGACTTTTCCCCGACGAACCGCGATCGCGCCACGATAAATGTTGCATGAAATGAATATTAAGAGTCCGTGTAAAGCCGTCGCCGCACGAGAAGGATCGCGGACCACACCAAGCGCCCTTTCATTCTTTCTTCGTCATCGAAGTGTAACTCGAGGACTCCTGTCGGGCGTCGAATTTCGTGGCAAACAATATCGATCGTTTGAGTATCAAACTGGTGCAATCGGGCGATAGCTCTCGGCGATAAAGTAAGGGGAGGGGAAATTGGCAGAAGAGTATATATATTTATAACAATGAATGAGAAAAAAAATGAACGAGGAAGAATCGGGACGAATCAAAGGACATAATTTATATTATCCGGCAAGGAAATAATCTTATGAGAATAAATACGACATCGCGCAGAGGTTTCACGGAAATAATTTTGGTATTTTTCCTCTCACGTTTCTCATCGAGAATCTCGAGATCGCTCACGTATGGGTAAATAGAGACATTTGTCGACCTGGTCGCGTCCTCGGAGGACACTCCGGGCATTTTACACTTTATCCTGAAGATTTAAGGGTTACTAGGAAGCAAAATAATGTGCGATCACAACTGCACCACGTCCCGCGTGCGGCGGAGTTTGAAGCGATATAATAAGAAAGGGGAAAAAAAAACGAAAAAAAAAACGGAGAATACTGTAAAACGAAAAAAAAAATTTCGTACGGAACAAAATGCACAAAACGAGCTGTACCTTCTTTTCTCGCAGAAATCGAAAGACCTATCTAACCGAAAGTCTTCATGAAACGCGCAGAAAGCACACACGAGAGAGAAATATATATTATTATATGAATATATATGAGATATAAAAAAATTGCTAGTATACCTTGCAGTTATGCGAATGTTGCATTGTCTAACTGTTTGTTCCATACAGATCCAGATGTATTATTGTATCCGATGGAGTATTATATATCAAAATATATATAATATATATCTATATATATTACGATCCTCCCGTGGAGCATACAGAGTTTTTCCGCTTTTCCCAATTTTTCCAGTAAGTAAAATAATTTTAAATTATAATTATAATTTTATTTTCATACGTTTTAAATCTTTTAATTTATCTTAATTATATCCTTTTTCAATTTAACTTGAGCAATCTGCAACACATCATTTGCTGCATTATAGTGCAATAGAAGAAAAAATCTATTCTTGTAAAAATAAGAAAATTTTATGCCTTTGTCTACATTTTTTATTATTGTCTAAATTACAATAATAACTAAATTGAAATGAGTTAAGTCCGTATATTAATGTTTATTTCAGTGTACATAGATTGTGATTTTAATTTTGATTTAATTTATAGGGCTGAACTTTAAACTCTGATTAATTTAATAGATGATTAATTCAACTGCTACAAATGTTTATAGCAAAATTTTTAGATATATTAAGAATATGTCACCCGATTATTATAGCTTTTCATGAATATAAACTAGAAGAAATTCAGAAGATTCAAATTTTGTCACATTCCAAAAAAATTATAAATATTCTGTGTTTAAAAAAAAATAATATCCTTTTAACAAAAGACAAGTATTGTAAAAAATGTTACTTAATAAATTAATTGAAAACTAGTCGGTTAGTTTATCATCAGAGGATAAATCAGAAAATTAAAAAAAACCATTTCTTGATTTCCACCATTTTGATCTTAGCGTCATCTACAAGCAAAGTGTAGAACTACTTAGCTATTTTCTCAAGTTATCTCTACAGATAACACCTGTATATCTTGAACAACAGAAAGAAAATATATTTTTTAATAATTTTTTACAATGATGATATATTTGTCTTATATTGAATGCAGAAAATATAATAAAGGTCGAATAAGAAGATCAGCTGCAAACATTTCAATCTAATCTAGCGTTCTTTTTCCTTGTCATGCCATTGGTATGAGGAGCACAAGAATGTGGCGCGCGTCTACCAGTGCCAGCTGTTAGCGTCTGCCGGGTCAAGCCACAAACAGATAGAAAGGTTATATCGACGATCAGGTATAACATCATATAAGTAAGTGTATTGACAATTTCGGTAAAAATTTCGCTCGATTTAGACTTTAGATACTCGTGAGATGGGATAGAACGTTTTTTGGAAACTCGAAGCTTCATTAGATTCTATCTTTAGAGTAAATACCTTGGAGTTAACCTAAAATCGCGTAATTGGGCGCGAATAATTCCATTGTGTGTAACTAATAAAATATGCGACGTTAAAATATGAAGCATTCCTATAAAAACTGGATATGCAAAAATTGAACGATATTTCCGATCACATTTGGATACTTAAGTTTTTATATAGGTTATGAATTTTCTTAATTCTTAACCTATCGGGCATTTTTTTAAATTTAAAATATATTTATCTTCCAATGTGGAACCTTTAGATATGTTAAAAAAGTGCGAAAACTTGAAATCACTAAGATTATGACAAAAGATTAATCATATTTTTTACTTTATTTAAATAAAGTTTTCATCACAAACTCAGAATTCAGAGAGTTTATTCAAAATTTTTTCTAAACATCTATCAATTAAATACCTTATTTAACTCGTAATTAGAATATATGGATTCTGATAATTCTAAGATATTTTCCTAATTTTTAAACAGTGTTGATATGAAATAATTTTATGTTTTACAATGTTATTATTTACAGTTTTGTTCTATTTATACAGGCTAATTATTGTACAATATATATGCTAATTCAAGTATTATAATTTTTTATATAATTTTAAAACTTTTTGAAATTAATAATAAATTTTTATGGATTCTGAAGACTTGTGTTTCTTTAATAAAAAATATGCGTTTTCGTTACGAATTAAATACTTTTTATTAAGTAATAAATTTTTTATTTATAGCACAAATGCCAAGCGTTAAGGATGATTCAGAAGGTGAAGGGGAAGAGATGTCCCATGACAGTAACGAAAGTAACCAGAGTTCTGGCTCATGTGATAGTAGCCCAGAACACACTGACAGCGATGACTCGTCAGAAATGGACGAAGACGAATGTGAGAGAAGGCGCAATGAATGTATGGACAATTTGCTTGACTTGGAAAGACAATTTACTCTACTCAAGGAACAGTAAGTATATTAAAAATATTATATTATATATATTTAGTTTTTTTATATATTATACTCTGATAAACATTTTTTTTTTAAGAATACAATATTAATGTGTTTTAACAAATATTTATTTTAGATTATATCGAGAAAGAATTACACAAGTGGATACAAAGCTCGGTGAAGTTCGTGTTGGAAAATCTGAGGAATATCTAATACCACTGGAGCGACTGAAGGAAAACATGAAAACGAAAACAGAAGTGGCTGGAATATTAAAGCAATACAGATTACAAAACATCCAGAATAAATTCCTAGCAGAAGAGTTGGCCGCTTTTCAAAATTTTGAAAGTGAGAAAGTCTTAGTCTGGGATTGCATTCATAACGATCTACAAGAAAAAATTCGTCGTCTAGAGGAAGATAGGAATAACGTAGACATACATGCGGATTTGTGGCTTAATACAACCGGTAGAAGACGTAGGAACCATACGGAGAGAAGACGAGCAGTTTCCGTCGCAGGTCCTTATATCGTTTACATGCTCAACGACGCGGATATATTGGAAGATTGGGCATTAATAAAGAAAAGTCTAGGTAGCCGAAAAGCAGAAATAATGTAAACTATGCTTTGAATACGTTGAAGAACTGTTGAAAATAGTTTCTTTACATTACGCGCTCATCTTTGATATGAACAGGAATTTCGTCCAACCGGAAATGTTCTAAAATTAGATCAACAACTGACATCCGTTGAGTATCTGATATCTGTACTGTGTGCCTTGATAAAAAGTAAGAGTAATTATTTACTAACCTAAATAATTATCGAATTAAAATATCATATTCGCCGAGTCGTACTTCTGTGGTACACTAGTGCAGGAAAATTATTTACATTTGTGTTATCGGAAGAAACAAACTCATAATTTTGAAAAAAAAACAAGTATTGTCTACATTAGTTTCAATTAATACGAAAATTTGCATTGTGTGTGTGTGTGTGTGTGTGTGTGTGTGTGTGTGTGTGCGCGCGCGCGCGTGTGCGTGTGCGTGTGTGTGTGGTGTGTGTGAGCCAATAATTATATTAATTCAAATTGTATTAATTCAAACTGACATAACTGGTTTTTATATTTGATATTATGGACATTGTTTTCTCCTTATTTATTTTAATTTATTTCAAAAGTCTATTTCTGCAGTTCTATTATCATATCTACTTTATATTTTTCCATCTCTCTAATATCTTAAAGAAATAAGACAAGTATAAACTCTCTATTCTTTCTATCTTCTTTTACATCTAAATGAATATCTATGCTTCTTCTATCATCTTTTTAATGAACTAAAATATTCGACGTTTCCAAATCGTTGCAATTAGAAAATAATTTCATAATTTTCTTCGTTTACGATCTAGTCGGAAAAAAGTTCTTATTCTAATATTCCGTGCTTGGAACAAATAACCGTGACATGTAATATCAAAATATCATAAACAAAATCTTATCTTATCCATATTCTAATGTATTAGAATTTTGTTTAAAGACATTTAAGCGTGCTTTGTTTACTCAAAGGCGAATGTAAAAAAGAGTTGTATAAATATATTTTATTATTATATACTGTTTAAATATATTTCATTATTTTAGTTCGAAATAGATGACTTAGAAGTATAGTAAAATTTTTGTGTGAAATTATTATTAGTAGTGTAACACAATGACTGAGAAAAAGATTCATGAGCGAAAGAATTATTGTATTGTAAATAAAGTGCATTTTAATTTTTTTACAGTATACCCAGCAAATTATATATTAACATTGTTTCAGCAATTCTAACAGTTTTACATTAATACAATGTGAAATTGATTTAGTCCTAAACTCGCATTCTATCAATGGAACCTATAATAATAACAACCAAGCAGCTCTACGGAGTTCTACAATTTCATTTAAATGGTATATTCATTTGTCCTAATTTTTGTTAATATTTTTGTTAATATTTCAAAATTGAAGTAATGAAACATAGTACATCTTCTTTTAGTGTAATATTCAGCAAAGTTTCATCCAGCTCAATAATATGAATCAAAAATTTCAACATAACTTTTGAATTTGCATCCCGACGTAGACGTGATTAATTTGCATCGTTCGAATAATTAGGAAGAAAGAAGAGATTAAGAGGGAGAGAGAAGGGTAATTTTAAATGTAATTTTTATTTAGGCTATGTACAACACATACGTACAATACGTGACCCTTGCTTAAAACTATGTTACGCTCGTCCGGTATGCATTTCCACTTAATTTTTAATCTTGCCCTCTTGACACAACGTGACGCGTGTAATTTTGTGTGTTGGACGCGTACGTGTCCATGCACATCTCATGTGTATTTGTGCGTGTACTTTGTATGTATGTATGTGTATGTGTATCCGTGCATATGTTGAGTGTATCGTGTACGATATGTTACAAACTTTTTAGGAACATTTCTCGTGGAATGCCGCGAGCGGTAATAATAAGGTCGCAGCGAAACTACACGAAAACAATGCGCAGTCACCTGCAGCTTCATCCTCGACTTCGATATATTGATTAGACAGTTATCGAAAAATGACACCAATATAGACGATTGTTGACTGGACAGACTCCGAATATTTATGACTGAAAGGCGCCAGGGAGAAGTCGCGAGTCGCGCGTTAATTAACCGTTTGCGCCCCGCATGTGTCCATTGCAAAATCCCTGATGTCTTCGCGGAATTATTCAATATTGAGGTAAGCAGATATTTATATGTATTTATTACGAAAAAGTTTGTAGTATATTTCTCAAAATCGAATAAAACGTTAACAGAATGATAGCTTCGCCCAATAGCTTCCTTTCCTCGTAAGAAGCTATATAAAGCGCAATCCCTATTTACGTACCTGTAAATGTGATAAGATTATAACGGAATTAATATAAGATTTTATCGAGCTGGAAGCTCGAAGTGCAAACGGTTAAAGCGACGAAAGCTCCGATTCTGCTTTTACACGGGAAAGCATCCGGACGACGAACGATCGCAATAATTAACCGGCTTGCGGCAACAGAGTGAATAATGTACGTTCGGCAACCGTCTCATCGACGATCCGATTTTCATTGCGTGAATATTCGCAAATTACCTCATTGATAATACATAGTCGTTTGGCCATTCCACGCGATATCGGGCAATCGTTCGGCCTGGAATCATTCGCCTGTTGATGCAGTCGGTTTGACTATTACGAGGACAACATTATTGTTACACGATACGATCTGTTAGTGATAATTACATATTTAATCCTGGATATGGATGAGACAGAGTGCGATCTCCATCTTTCTCGTTAAAACTCTATTGGCTTTGCGGCTTTCGTAATTATAGGCCTGTGTGCGTTTGTCAATTGTCCAGGCACCGACCTTTCGATGAGATTTTTCGCACGACTTGCGGTGCAATAAAATTTACGCCTTATTTATCCAAGGTTCAAGATGCCGACACACCTCTCGACGATCGACATTCGCAAAAACAGTGATGAGCAAAGTCGAGATCTCGTTTCTTCGCTTAACGAATTCAATCACCTTGCAATCACGTTTTGTGAGTCTAATGTTACGACGTCGAAGACTTTCTTAATATGAAATCGGTACATAAGCCGTCGCACACTGTTTAACAACTTAGCATAAAGTCTGTCGGACAAGTCTAAATATCTTCCTATTAAACACAACATTAACGTTCTATCGGTAACATTATATCAACGACTACATTTATATGGCACCTTGATTGAGTTTAATAACATCCGTACATTATAGATATGAAAATGGCCAATTATATTCATTTCATTCTTCACAGGAATAGCTATAATTGTTTCATAACTGCGGATATTAGTAAATCCGATTAAAAGTGCCATGTAAATGAAATCAATATTATAATTTTCTACTAAACACACGTAACAGGTACATTGTTGAATAGAAAATTTCAACACTGATGTAATGTTACTGTTATATTGTGTTTAAAGAATTACTAGTACTTCCACATCGCACTTCTGTAAAATTGACTTGAATCTAAAAATATAAAGGATGCTACACGGAACGATTTTGCAAAAGTATTTAAAAATCTAGCTAAATCAGATTTAAAAATAGTTTTGTTAGTTTATCCAAATCATTATTAAGCTTTATGACAATGCTGCAAAAAGTTTTAACATTCTAGCAATCAGTTTAAGCGTCCTACATAATTATTTTCATTGCCAAAACAAAATTATTTTCAGATCTGTATCTAGCTAAATTTTTAGATACTTCAGCAAAACCGTTCTTTTTTCGTGTTAATACCTGTTCCGATATCGTCATGTATCTTCAATAATTTTTATTCTATTAACTTCAGTTCGTGAAACGCAAAATCATCGTTTGTGTTTTCTGTATGGAAAGATTTTGCTGAAGTATCTAAAAATTTAACTAGATACTGATGTGAAAATAATTTTGTTGGACCATTACAATAATTATGTAAACGCTCCAAAAAACTTGTTGCTAGAATTTTCAAACTTTTGCAATATTGCTCATCATACTTGAGATTCCTACATAATTATTTTAATGTTTCAATAAAATTATTTTCAGGTCTGTATTTAGCTAAATGTTTAAATACTTCAACAGAATTGTTCTTTCCATATGTTAATTTTTTTTTTAAAGAATTGAAATATGAAAATTTTTTTTTAATGCATCCCTATATCGATGTGCGACGGCGTCTGATCCGCACAAAGGGATGAGTTTCGACGATCTGCTCGTCGCGACGAGGAAACCCTGGCGCCCCTCAAATTTCGAACGCAAAACACTGTCAGATACCATCCCCCTTCAATACGCCCCCATTCCCCCTCCTTGATTATTCAAAATCGTGGTCAACATAAGCACACAAATCAATGCCTAATATCATTCACTAAGGGTATGCTTACACTTTTAAAAGGACATTGAAAAATCGCATATGCTAGAGTATCTGCCGATTACGCAATCTCTATGTATCTATATCTCTTCTCTTTCACCAATTTATGTACAGTACCGTCCTCTGCCCTCCCTCTTTCGCCAATTAACGAAGGTGTGGCACGTATCGTTGTTAGAAGATTAACGGAATGTCACGCACGTGAATGCATTATTTGCGGTGCGACGCGTCTCTCGAACGAAAGGAACCAGACGCTGGGGAAAAGAAATGGCTACACGTAGAAAATACACGACGATCTCGCGGCAAACGAGCTCTACGTTTCTGTACACGCTATTAATTGCAGGATATTTTTCGCTGTTTACGAATCGAAAACGCAGGGTATCTCAGACATTGCGTATTTTCTCCTGCACACAATAAAAAAAGAAGATAATTACGCTTTCTTTAAGCGCATATCTGTGGAAACATTCAAATTCTCACACAGCCAAATTTAAATGGCTTTTTGTTTGTGCACAGTGCCTCTCATTAAGCACATGTCATATTACGTATCAAGGATTGCGAATTAAAGATTATAATTAGAGATTAGACCAATCAGATAATTTTAATTTTATTAAATATTATTGAAATATATTTGAAATACTTGGTGCACACATTTGGATTTTTTTTCTTAATCTTAACTTCATTGATAGAGGCTTCTTTTTGATAACATTCTGTTTCAAAATTGATGTAAAAAATCTGTCTCGCAAATGTTTTGTGAGAAGATTTGCCAATCGAGAAAGGAAATACGCGATACCAGAGACAATCTGTATGTCGATCGTAATGAATCGTAAATCGCAAAAATTACACAAAAAAGTCACGAGGTTCTATGTGTGCCAATTGATATTTTGCAACACGATATTTCGCATGTTGTTGAATTTTCAGAATTCAACGTTGTTGAATTTTAGAAATTCACATCCCGAATAAACGTTCGAGATAAACGCACAGTCCCGTTATTTCGTTATCGCACACAATCTTCAACGTCGTGCTCGAACTTACATTCGGCCTGTCCAAACGACGATGAAACACGAGAACGTGATCGGATTAAGAGCTTTTCGCGCGTGTATATGCCTCGCGACATGTGTATGCCATTGCAAATCGAGCTTGCTTGCTGCAAGCGAGATGCGAGAATGCGTCACGAAATCAGAATGTCGACGCGGCCGCGTAAGCCGATTAGCGATAATGCAAATCGATCCACGGTTCTGTTTCTCTTTCTCTCATTTCTTTTTTTTTTTTCTTCTTTCTGCGAAACGGCAAAACGTCGATAGGGCTCCGTCGAGTTCGTCATTTTGCTCTCGGTTTTTTTTTCTTCCATCGATCGGCTTGATCATAGATACGACATCGGATTCCTGACGAGACCCTCGAGTTGCCCTCTCGCCTCCGTTTACAATTATGTCTGATATTGTAACATTGGTGCGGCCAGATTCGGGTGGTGGGCTGTGTTCATTCTCAGGGCTGAGATGCTCTTGTTGTACCACTCGTCCTCCGCTGACATTCCTGAAACAGGAAAAAAGACGGGATTTTTAGACAAACTATTCGCCTGACAGTCTCCCTCTCTTTAGTCAATCTGCGAGTTACATGCATAGAAAGAACTTCTGTAGAAGTATTTAAAAATTTAGTATATGAAGTATTCTAAAAATTTAGATACGAATCTGAAAATAATTTTATTGGTCATTAAAATATTTATATAAGATGTTTAAACATTGATAACAATATTGAAAAAAATTGAAGTTAGCAACTAGTTTAGACGTCCTGGATAATTATTTTGATGGTCCAAATAAAATTATTTTCGGATCTGTGTATAGCTAAATTTCTAGATACTTCAGCAAGAAGTTGTCCTCTCCGTTTTTTCAATAGTACTATAAGATCGTTAACGTTAGCTTTAATTGGTAGAATCCACGTGACACTACTAACCCGTTTGATAAATCAAAGTCGGACGTCACTCGACGCGGAGAAGCTGGATTTCTTTTCTATCCCGAAAGAATCCTGGAGTGATTCGATTTAACTGACTTTCCGCGGTGCTTTATCGAGTCTCCGCTAATCGGTCGATTTGCTATCGTATTAAGACGTTAAAGAGAGAGGCGTTAAATCGTTAAGGAGAGGCAACGGGATTGCGAGCGCGGAGAGGCCGCACACTCGTACAGCAATCGCTTGCTTGCACCGTGCAACCCCCGACGGGCGAGCCAATTCGCGAATAGTCTTGATTCGATTTAAAAGCGATATTCCATCTCGCGCCGGAAATGGTGTAAGACGGCGCTGGGGCGGAAATGGAGAGAACGTCTTGGAGGCTGGGAGAACGCGCGGTGCTCTCTCGCTCTTGTGCACGGGCGTCGGATTCGCGCCATTTCCGCTCCGGATTTTTGCGAAGTCATTCGATAACGCTGGGTCAGCGCCCGAAGATGGTGCAGAAAGTCGTCGTGAGATGCTGGACAAGAGAATGAGGCCAAAGAAATTAGTTTGCGTCCGTTCCACGTCCGCGTGATCTCGTGAGGAAGGAAATGACGTACACGAAAAACAACGTTCAAATATAAAATAATACTTAAATATGTATATGCAGTCAGTACACTTGTAGGACTAATAATTGTTAATTAACGCGAGGAAACATCAATGTTTATTTGTAATATATTTCATTATATCTAAAAAGTTAAAATTTAGAAAATTGCACACAGAAAAAGGAGTTTTGTTTTAACTGGAATTCTTGAAAATGGACAAATTGGAATTTTCTAGTTGATCTATTATAATTCTAGTTAGATAATAAGATCAGAATCTTTTGATTCGTTCATTTTCAACCAGAAATTTTTCTCGGTGCAACATTTCTCTCATTAAATATCATAATTTGTTAAATATAATTATTTAACAATTATAATGTCAATCATAAATTATAATACAATTATAAATATTATAATTGTTAAATAAACATTACATTAATTTATTAAAATGTTGCTCTTTCCTAAATTTTAATGGTTAAA